GACACAAAGCCAGTGAGTAGAAAGGTTGACAGAGCCTTGACAGATTCAACACTGGTGCCACTTATCATTCTTTAGTCTTAACTGTGACACAGCATCTCAGAGAACCATTGGAGATGAAGGCTTCTCCATGGGGGGCACTCATACAACTGCTTCTGTTAATCAGCTCCTGTCTGAAGGACTATGCAGATTAAGTGCCCTGCAAATAGGGTGAAAGGGGGAAAAAAGGAGTTTAGAAAGGTAAAATGATCTGCCACAGGTCTCACAAGAGGTCAGGATGAGAAGCAGGAAAGGAAGTCAAGCATCTTGCTTGTTGGCCTTGCTCTTCAGCCTAACTCTGCACCGCCTCTCCCACTGTCAAAGTCAGGACATACAGCAAACAGACATAAGAAAACTACATATCCTGAATTACCAGCTCTGGGAGAAATCAAGGTCCCTTTATTGTACAAACTGAGTACTTTCAACAGGGCCATCTCAGTATCTCTCTTCTTCCCTTGTGCATCCCTACACCACACTGGAGCTACAAAAGGAGACTGTTACATTGTGAAATATACATCGTCGAATACATAAAAGTGGTGGTTCCTTTGGTAGCTCTGAGCACTTACGGTAAAATACCAGAGAAAGTTTCTTCCCACCAGTCAGGGAAACTCCTCTGCTGTGGGGAGTGACTCAGCTGGGACATAGTCCAGAAGGCAACAGGAGATGAGGGGCCCCGATGGCACTTTTCCAGTCTTAATCAGCACTGTCTGCATGGTGACAGAGACTGATAAGCTGCCAGAAGTCATTTCTTTCTATGAGACTTGAAACAGTGGTCCAGAACAGTTGTGATCTTTGTGTGTGTAGATTTTGGGGTTTTTTTAAATGCAAAATCAAGGGCTTTAATTTCCCATGGTGGCCAACAACAATTTTGTTTGTTTCATCCTAATCTCCATAAATATCCATTTCTCCTCCCTCAACCTTACCCAATTTCCACTCCACAAAGTATTCTTTTTTTTTTTTCCCCAACAAATCAGACATGCCCATCTGCAATAGCACATTTATCAACAGGGAGGGCTGTGACAGAGAGAAACCATCCCTACTGCACAGTGCATAACACATTTGGGAATCCTTTCTAATAAAAGGGGATTTGATTAAAGCCAGCCAACTACCACAGATCAGCAACTGAATCAGCAGTAAAGAAGGAAGAGTAGCTTAGACTTAAGAGACTTCAATTTGCTGATCTGCCAAGGACTTCCCAGGAGAAGTCACTCCATAACCTACAGAAGGGTAGGAGAGGACATACACCAAAGATCGGGGTGCTTAGACTTAGTATGGTAGTGTAGCCTTTCAACAAAACTAAGTTAGACAGAATACCCAGCATGTACGTTTAACTCCTAAAAATTCACAGCATTTTTTTTAATTATTATGCTCAGTGATGTTATTTCCATGCTTAAGCACTGCCTTGCCAATGGCAGCTAGAGGATTTCCCAGTGACTGGATTGTGCTGCTGTGGTAAGTCTAGGCAACAAACAGCTGCAAACTGTGATCTTGCTGCTCCAAAGTGTGTCTCTAACATGCTGCTTCTGGCTCTCACTATGCGCCCGAGTTCCCTGGGAATGCAGTGTGAACCGTGCCGTGCTGCCAGCTGTGTCTGCTTGCATGAGTGATCACTGGCTAGAACAGCTCCCTGACTCTGAAACCACCTTCAGTAATTTCCACCCAGGCAAGCTGAAGAGAGGTGTAGTAAGCACAGACCTGATGGAAGTGCTGGCTGTCCTGCTCCTGAACTCAGTTCACTTGGTCTGCCAGCAGTACCAGCCGGTATTTCCAGGGCAAAGAGACAACTTTAGTGGCTCCTACTCCTCATCCCTCCCCAGGAACCTCCACTCTACCCACACTGACTCCAGAATCGAGATGGCTTGATCGAAAACCAGAGAAACGGCAAGTGAAATTGCAGAAGGAAGATGGTTACCAAAAAGATCCCAGAGTGCTGACGGGCCAAGTAAAATGACCTTTCTCCAGCCTGACAGTTCAAATGTAATTATTCCAACAAATTATTTTCATGACTTAATATAGCGCCTTGCAGCTTTCTAGCAAGGTTAATTAGATTCCTCAATTCAAAACCTATCTGCTCTTAACCAACTTTTAATACGCTGAAATCCAGTTTTCTAAATTCAAACTAATAAAAGTGATTAGCTGACAGCTATCTGGCATGCTACAATTACCATGGCATTTAGACCTCAGGCAGAAGATATTTAATGCAAATCAGAGTCAATGTCTCTGCCCATTTGTCCTTTTTCTGATTATTTGATCAATGTGCCATATGAATCTTGTACAATCTACGCTACCATGCTAAACAAATAAAAGAACAAAGGCAGAGATATTGGTTGAGACAGTTAACCAAAGCTGAAAGACTCTTTTTTTCCTCCCACACTTAATTTGTTCTTTCCACATGAGCATGAAGTTACTGAAAGGCACTGGCTGACAGCTCAAGTAGATAGGTATTTAGCTCTGACACAGCCGGAATTAGTACAAAACTCCAGGCCTGCACAGCCATATCAAAAAGCCTCGTCCACTCTGACTCGAGAGACCATCTTCCCCTGGGAGTAGCTCAGGCTGGAACAAACCTAGGAGGATGAGGGCAGCCCATCTCTTTGATTTTATCCAACCATAAAAAGCAGTTTGGCTCCAGAACTGCTGGTTTTCTTTTACGTTTTTCTTTGTAGGTATATAATTAGTTGTGGCCATGTCTCCCAAATGGCTGCATGGGGCACAGCATGCCTAGAGAGCTGAGGAGGAGTTCAGCCCCACACACGGTTCTTCTGCACATCAAGAACGCCAAGGCTGGACACTGCTTCAGAGATGACCTTCAGTGGCACAGATTCAGTGTAATTAGAAGATCAATAAGGTGCTGCTTGTAATTAAATATCACCTGTCCAACTAGTCTTGTTGTTTGCTTTTCATCTTCCAGCTTGCATCATGCATGATTATTCCATCTTTGATCACACTACCGCTTATATAAACAACACTGGCAAAATTTCTCAATGCTCTGGAGCCTCCTTTCCATTTTCTTGTCACCTGCTAAATTAAGAGCAATTGGCATGGCATTGGTCTGACCTACCATCTGATAGCCAAATTGATGACCTAACATTGGGAGACTTTATGTTCCAACCCTTTGAGCTATGCACCCCATTTGGATGAAAAAATTTTGATGTACCACACTCTCAAACAGAGCAGAGCCGTCTTAGTGATGCAGTATTAGTCTGCAAAACCCAAGCATTTAAGCTTCATAAATACAAGTGCTAAACAAAACTAAAGCTCCACTTCAGGAAGCAATTTCTGAGCTGTGAGGAAAATTAATCACTAGAACAGCTTATCAGGGTAGGTTGACTCACCATTGCTTGAAGTCTTTAAGATAAGATTAGATTTTTTTTTTTTAAAGTCATGATTCAATCATGTTTCTGGGAGAAATGGAGAGTAGGACATTAGGCAGTATAACGGCAAGGTCCTTTCTGACCTTGGAGCCTGTGAATCTGCAAGTTCTTTGTTCACTTGCCTACCTTCTTGGGCTGTGGGGAGAACTGGGTGGGCTTTAGTCCATCAGCCAGCTCCTGCCACTCACAGCTCTGCATTAAGAAAATGACTGTAATCAAATCTCATGCTTCAGGGCTTCAGCCATTTGCCTGAAGGTAGCAGGGAAAAAAGTTGCTCCCTCTTGCCCACCCACGCTAATGGCTAAATACATGTTATGTTTGTTTGGTTGTTGCTTCACTTTTAAAACATTAGAGTGAAGAGAAATGGATACGGGCAGAGATGAAGTTAAATGCAGAAGCAGAGAAAATGCTGTCTGGTTTTCCTCTCTTCAGTTAGTCATTCTTGCTTACACCTCAGATCTGTGCTAGTCATCAACTCTGATGACTATCAATGTTTATAGAGAAGACATTTCGGCTGTGAGGGTGGAGACCGTAGAAGGTAGAAGGTACTGACGGAGAATGGGGACTGATATCAACCCCATCTACGGGGGCAATGTTTGTTTGATGAGAACATGTTGACCTTCTCAGATCCTTGTCACTGCAAGATCTTTGTTTATTAGTGAAACTGTGGTCCTACCTGCTTTCCAATTAAACCAAACCATGAAAGTTTCTTTAGGCCAGAAATGTTTTGGTCCAACTGAAATCTATAGCAAATAGACCTAGGGAGCAATGTAAATTAAGTTTTTAGGAAATGATAAAATAAAGGAATATACAGAATACAAAATGAATGACCTACTTCGCTCTTTGGCAGTTTCCTAACACCACAATCACCCAAGCCTGTAAGAAACTGAGCATACAGACAATATGCAGTGTTCAGAGGCCACATCATCTGTGTTTTATATAAAGGCAAGATATATATTTTACACCCATAGATGCCTGAGATAATTCTGTCCTATACCACTTAAAAAGGAAATTAGCTGCTTATCTTCCTTGCCTGGCAAGGAAGATGACACGGTTATAAGCCAATCAGTTCAGATTTGTCTTCCTTGCACTCGTTGGACCCAGTTCTGGGCTAACGGGTCCCCATGTAAAACCAACCTGACTGATTGACTCAAAATGGACTTCCTTTTAATCTACGTGAGCATACAGAAAATGATAATCCATGCCTTGGGAACAGAAGACATTTACACTGCCAGGTTTTTTGCAGCTGCAATGAGAAGGGATGGGGCAGATGGGCAAGACAGCACACTGCACCTGAATTCAGCCTGGTAGCCTAGAAGCTGGGGACAGATGGTGTAAAAATGAACCAGACACTGAAAAATTCAACTTTATAACCAGAAAGACTATAAACATACAGCAAGAGACCATGAGATTTATGCTGAAATTACAGAGGAATTCCTATGGATGATTACACTTCCAGACCAAGCATGGGAAGCAAATCCATCAATATGTATGTCACTATATTAACAGCATAGCTGCCAGGCCTCCCCATTACCGAACTTCGTAAATACAGAAAGGGTCTACAGACACTTGTGATGTAGCACTGCTCACCAAAGTAGTCATCAGAGGGAGGATTCTCCATGTCATACAGCATTTTCTTGGTCAGATGTTCCAGCTCGTCCTCAGGCCTGAAGGCAGGAGTGCTTGATGCAGGTCCAGAGCTTGGATACCCACTCTAAAAAAAAAGGACAAACAGCCTGTGATGTGGTATAAAAGCATTCACCCGCAGTAAGAAGGTCTATTGGCTGTTCAGTGCTGAACTTCGTTCTTTGTCTTATTTTTGTTTTTGTTAAAACCGAAGGGATTCACACAAGTAAACATCTCATTTAATGTAATGAAAATGGACTCCTAAAAACATCCAGTGAAGTGCTATATATCCTCCTAGAATGAGAAGTATTCTGTGCCTCATAATTAGGTGTCTACTGGGTAGCACATAATAATAAATAAAGGAGAAAATTATTCCAGGGATAACTTGATACAAACATTTTCCAACTCTGAAAAAGGCTTTGGAAGCATTTCAGTTCGGATTTGGCAAAAGCTTCCATCACTTCACAACATAAAAGATGCTATAACAATCATTCCTACAGTGGTGGAGTATATGGACAAAGACAGATAATCCCGAGCTGCTACTTATGTTCTCTTCTTGTTTGTTTTGACACAAATTCTGCTGTTAACATTAGTGAGAGCAGGAGCTGGTCTACAGATTTTTAGTATAAGGGATACAAAAGTTTTAACACGTGCTTAGAAACTGAGACCTCTTGGCCTTCATATGCTAACAGCTGGCATACAGTATTTGCAGTCTGTGTCAGTGAGTCTTCTCCCTGGAAATCAGCAGAAGTACAGGCACATTTTGAGAAGCACAGAAATAGTCTCGTGCCTAGAAGTTTCTTAGAAGAAGCTAAGTTTGGTGTCCATAATGAGAAACTCGGTCATTTCAGGATTAAAAAATGCTGACACCAGCTTTCCTTGCATGCACTGCTTTCTTGAAAGACTTGCATGCAAAAACTAACCTATTTATGAAATGCAGCAGTTCAGTAAAGCAAGTGATTTCATTGATTAATTGGTGCCTTCATCAAGGATTGGACCTTAGATATGAAACTTAAGAGCCTTAGTCTACAAGGAAGCATTTTTCCATGCTCCATACCTACTTAAATGGGAAGAAAATGTAAAATCACTGGAGAAACAATACACTGGTCATTTCTATCTGGCTTACAGAGACTACATCTGACATGATGAATCTTTATTGAGCCAGTCATGTTCAACAGAGAACAGCAGCTTTAAAGCACTGCAAGAGAATTAACTAAATGTGTCCACGCTTTTTTCTTTCAGGCAAGAAGGAGATTTCAAATGAGACATCAATCAATGCAGAGAAGGTCTCAGAATGGCGTTTGCAGTAATACTTCAATCACCCACTCCTAAAAATCAAACACTTGCTTGTTCCTGACCTTGTCATGTTTATTTTTCCAGGGCCCATGCTAAGCTGTACACCATCACCCCCCTCGCTTGTTGACCTATCTCTCTCACAGGCACTGCACCCATGAGCGCAGCAGCACGACTGCACGCCCTGGAGGTGCGGGATTTGCCGCACGCACACAATGTGGCATTTGCATCCGCTGCCTGCCTGCCACTCAGTGCACAAAGGAGATGGGTGGCACGGTCCCCTGGAAGAAAGGGCACCTGGAATAAGCCCCAGGCTGGATGAATTTCTGTGGAGGGCTGAGCGAAGTCTGTTTGCCATGTGTTCAACCTCCCTGACATAGATTGGACCTACCATACATTCAGGTTTTCACAGAGATGTTTTGTTTTTCTGCTCAGGGATATTTTTTCTGAGCAATATTCAAGGATTTTGTGCATTTATTCAGGATTTACTGGATGCCCAGTAGTTGTTCTGAGGAAGCCACTGAACATCTGAAAATCCTGAATGTCCATGCACAGCTCAGTACACTCTATTGTACAAATGCAACCACGCTGATGTGCTTGGGTTACCACAACTTTTTTTTCATATGGAGAGACAGGCCTGTATGGTGCACAGGACTTGCATTTGCTTTTTAAGTCATTTCATTTACGTGCCATCTCTGTGGGATGTATAATTTCGGTGTGGATAAGGCCACTCATATGACTAGGAGTTTCAGAGCCAGGTACTTGACCCAGCACACCCAGACGCCCTTGGCCAGTGCTTTGTGGCTGTTTTTAGAAGGCTAGTTGACAACTATTTCATTAGAAATAATAAATAGCATAGCCCTAAAAAAAAAAAAAAGGTTTATTAATAAGCCAATTAAAGGTGCCAAATGTAAAGCATTTAATCTTGGAACAACCTATTTTTTTCCTTTGCTCTCTTGTTCCTAAGAGCTGATCATGAATCTCGTCTGAACATATATTTTAACACAGCAAGTGCAGCCAAGGATTTATTAGCTTGAGAAATCAATCTGGCAACTGAGCCTCTTAAAATATTATTCCATCTATTGTACCTATTTCAGTCACCATGCAGAAAGGAATGACCACTACCACCCCATCGAATGAGACTCCTTCCCTAGACTTTGCATGGACAAGACAGTGTGGCATGAAGCTGATGATGGCCCCATCCCTGTATTTCACCCATCCCTGTATTTCCCTTAGCATGGCACGAACATGTGGAAGCACCAGCCTTTCTGCTGGGCTCCATCCACACACAATCCGAAACACTGCTTTTACCCTCGGGCCTTATAATATAAATGGATCAAAACAGAAGGCGCAAGCTGCTAGCTGTTCACAGGAAAGGGATGTGAGACGCATGGAGCTGAAGCGATTTGCCCATCATCGCACGTGGGCTCTAAGGCAAGGACAAAACCAGGCTGCTGCGAGCCCCACATCTTCAGCCTCGCACACAGCCCGCCAGCAGCCACTCTCCGACCCAAAGTGACTGCATCTGCAGGCCACCACCAGCCAGGCTGTGGCAGGACACCCTGGGCAGGCGACGTGTGAAGCCTCTGCTTCTCTTCTACACCAGCTTCTCACACCTCCACTGGGGGGCCTGCTCGTGCCTGCTTCAGTAAGGGCTTGGGCTGTGCCATTTAAAATGAAAGACTGAAATCTGCAGATTTTTCAGTTCTGTCTGACTTTCTCTGGTTTTGGAGGCCACATTGCCTCATACACACAATAAATAGGCTGCTCTCATATTTTATCTACATTGCATTTTTCCAAACCAGGCAGATTTCTTATCCAGTACCCAACGTCAGCAAAAATAACAAATACCAACCACAATGTTACGAGACGCTTAAATTTATTTTGACTAAAAATGCTATGCCTTTTTGACCAACATTTAAGCAGCGCTAGGCACATCTTTTTCCTCCTCGCATGTCACATGCTGACTATGTGCCTCCAGGAAAATGCATTTCATGCATATGAACATGCTGTTGAGTTTGCTGGAACATGCACGCACACAAACATAAGCGAGAAAAGTGTATCCTTAGTCCAATCTAAAATGCTTGTTTCAGCAAAACAGTTTCCTTCCTCTTCCTTTGTTAGGTCAGGGTAAAAATATAATTGGCTTTCCTTACAAAACAGAGTTGTGGTGTTGTTGTTTATTAAACTTCCTCTGTTTTCCCCTGATCTGTACAACGATCAAGGCTGTCTATAAATCCGATTTGCTGTCTAATCTACCACCATTATCTTCATGCATTCTCTTTCCTCCATGACGCCTCAATGCACACAAATACACACTTCCTTAGCTAGACACAGCTCAAAGCTGGGGTCTGTGCCAAATTGTGACATGGCCTCCCAAATTCCCTGAGCACCCCTCTGTCTGGCTAACCACAGCAGCATCAGGGATGATAAACTGACCCACGAAAATGGAGGAGAGCCTTGGTCAGCAAAAAGCCAGCGGGAGGGACCATGCTTTAGGAGCAGAAGCACCTGAGTCCAATCTTTGCTACTGCCATCAAACACTGAGTAACCTCAGGGAAGAGCATGGCAATTGCAGTCGCATGTGCAAATGCAAATGCAATCTTGAATAAACACTGTCTTGCGCGCTTAGTTAATGGAACGTTTAGGGAAATACCAGCATTCCCAGAGTTAAACCCCATGGCAGAAAATATCTTCATGCTACAAACGAAAGGAAGTGAGGTAATAGCTTGTGCCACTTTCAAAGCGCTGCAACAACATCTGGCTCATCTTCCTCATTAAAATTCAGTTCCTAAAAAGCCAGGTCAAAAGAAGCAGTCGTGTGGAATCACTGCATAATTATTTTGGTACATGAAGTTGATACTTGTTCCAGTACTTCTCTGGCACAAGCTTTCTACTCCAGACGTCACTGGTAATCAGCTGTCTCTGATGTAATGGCTGCCCAGAAAAGGGAGCTCTGTAGTTAGTGAGGTACAGTCACCAATGTGAACCTTCCCCATCCACATATAAATTTTTACCCAAATGGGTAAAAACCACAGCGCAAAATCTGAAAATACATCTGAAGACAATGCTGTGATGAATGCACCACCATTCAGAGTGCACTGTATGTGGTCATTTTTCTTGTCCATTTGCAAACTTGTAGAAGAAACTTCTTCTCTCTGAGAGAAAATAACTTCAATTATGTGTTCCCAATTACAGAAACGTGGAAATTATCTTCTTTTCAGAAGGTAGAATTAGACCAATTTGGAATTGAAAGGCAGCCAGAAACATCTTTCACTGATACTTACTTTCCCTTTCATTTTTTCTTCTTGTTCATCTGCATAAAGTTAGCACTTTCCTTTCACTTCACTCACCCAAACTGATCATCAGTTAAATAAACAGTTAAATAGCATCGCAGGACATTTTTTATTCAATGGCCTGACAAAGACCATACTTTTTCATTTAAGTTATTGACTGCACAAAACAATCACAAACTTTCAGACCAAGAAGTCCAGCATGGTGCCAAATCTCTCATGAGTCGCGCTCCTAAAGAAATCTCAAGATTGCCTGCAGCTGTAATTCAGTTTATAATTAAGGCCAACTGATCTCTCTTGCAGAGGAGATACACTGGAAAAAATATTTTAATTCTTGATTTATTTTCCCAGTGAAAAGTTACAGCTGCCAGGGTACATACAGATTCCTGAAAAGACAATTCTGCCTAGATTCCCTGCGACATTTTTGAACTTCACAGCCTGCAATTTTGCCCAAATATCTCTCTCTCTTACACTGTGAAACTGGGATGCAGACAGGTGGAAG